TATATATATATATAAAAGCATATCTTCAAATTACTTTGATTTTGTCTTCATCTGGGGCCTTAGGTGTCGTGCTGGTGCCTGTACCTTGACCAGCACGACTCTTTTGTCTGTATGTCTTCATTACTCCACAAAGGTATGCCGATTTATTGGATACATGTTCCAGGTTAGATTCCAGAAATTGTGTAAGCACGTTTAGCGCACCATCAACTGGAAATTCTTTCAAGGCATCAAGAGCTCTTTCATCCAGATCAATATGAGCTAATTTTCCCGTCTTATAAATTTCATCCAATTTGGCAGCCACTTTCTCGTCTAGCCCGTATTGCATGAGTTTGTTGAAATCTTCTGTCCGTTCTACATTTTCTATTTCTTGTTTTTCTTCCATTTTTATCTCTCCATTCCCTTCTGCCATAGCTGAAACAATATGTTAACAAAAAATGTTTAATCTTTTGGCAATACATTAATTAAATTCATAATGAATTATTTGGTTATATAATATATATCACAAAATGTGATACTTGTACAAATTTTTTTGTTACGATAAATAATAAAATTTTATTAAATAATAAAATATTCTTTTCACAACAAAAAATATATAACATTTAATATGCAAATTCAAACACATATTGTGCAACAATAAGATATTATTTTCTAATATTTCTATAACAATACATTATTGATTACAACTTACTTTTATTTTTTTTCATTGAAAGATAAAAAAGAAACAAAAAAAGCTTTTGAACAAATTTTTTATTAATAAGTAAAACTGTATAAGCACAAAAAATAATTAGCAATAAATTTTAAACATATGCAGACAGAGCACTAGCTATTAATAACAAAATACATAATTTACAATTTAAGTAATATTCTTAATGCAACTCGCGCAATCACTATTTCGAGCAAATCTAAATTGTCAATCAAACTTAAATTCTTATTCTTCCAAGAAATATATTTATACATAAAAATTTATTTCTAACGAAAAAGAGCGTTCTCTTAAAATGTAGGATGATAAAGTGTCTGGAAACAAAGTCGAAAAATGAGCCGGTGCGTGAAGAAAGAATCACAAATACTCCAATCATATACTTAACAATGCACTCCATAATGCATAGGTGCGAAATATGTGAAAGAAAACTGGAAGAAGAAATCTCTCACTCACTCACTCACACACACGCGTGCGCGCGCGCGCGGTCATATAAAAAATACACACACACACACACATACACAAATACACACACACATATATATATATATATATATATGTATGTGTGTACATATACACGTCGGAGTGCACAAATTTGAGCGAGAACCGTCCGCGATCAGACCTCCTTGGCGCACCAAACTTGAAAATAAATAACTAAAAATATCAAAGCAACCGACTATAGACATTACATTTCCGTTTGATATGAGAAACGAGAAGAGCAGGAACCGAGGAAGAAAATTTGTGATGCCCAATATAATTCCGTACGTTATCGGTGACACTCGCAGTTCAACCCAACGATTAGGCAGCAGGACGATTGAACGCGATCGCCGATCGGTTGGCGTAGACCACAGACGGCAATGGTGACGGCAACAGCGCGGCAACAGCGCAGCGTAGCGTGGAGCGGAGCGGAGCAGAGAGGAGAGGAGAGGAACGGAGCGGCGCAATCGCCGCTGTAGCAAAGGATTCGCGCGGCAAGAATTGTCGCGATGATATTATTCTTCTATCCTCTCCAACGTCGCCGTTATTCTCACGACGAGACTCGCGATTCCACTTTTACCACGCGCTAATTCACCGGCCGGCGAAATGCAATCGCACTCCGCACAGCGGCGGCGGCCGTCGCCGCGATGCACTTGTATGCACTTTAGACATATGCACTTCGCAATGCATTTATCTCGGTATTTTTCACTCGCGCTCGCGGAAACGTAGCGATAAAAGGTGCCGTGGCTCAAATGTTAGAAAATTAACCGTATCGATGATGTAAAACGAACGGCGATCGTTACCTTGCAAAATAAACGAACGGGCTCCTCCGCGCGAGGAAATGGCGACAGACGTCAACGTGATTGCGGACTACGGGGTTCACAAAACGACGCGCAAAGATACGCTCGAACCCAGCGATACGACGTTAGCCATTTTCTTGCCGCGGCCGTGCTCCCGCGAATTCTGATTGGCGCCCGCAAAATTGCTCGACGGGAAAAAAGGCCGACTGTTCCGCGCGTTAAATCGGAGTACCGCGCTCGCAAAATTCGGATCGGAGCTCGGAACACATTCGAGAACTTGCTCGCTCGTTCATTTACACGCGCGTGCGCGCACACATGTATGTATATGTATGTACACGACAAATCGCATGAAATCGGATATTCATGATGATTCGCAAAAATACAACGAAATTAGTTTTTTAAAATCGAAAATGTAACAGAACGAATTTTGCTACACTTGCCACTCGCAACGCGTTACATAAAACGGAACATCTGCAATCACGTGAAAATCTACAACGTTAAGAGTGCACGTTAAGAGTACATTTTACGTTGTACGTGCGTCTTTATAAGAGAAATGCGATTGGATAATTTTCTTTATGCATGCATTTATGAGATTATGCAAGTTGTGTGGATGTACCTTAATGCCTAATTCACACTGGACGCAGCAAGCGTCAAGCAGCGGAACAGCAACCAATCAGTGAGGCGATATCTACAGTGGAGTAAACAATATCCTTGCTGGTTGGTTGCTGCTCCGCTGCTTGACGCTTGCTGCGTCCAGTGTGAATTAGGCATAAAGCATACCATGTAAAGTGGGAAACACAAACTCTTGCATAACACTTAATGCGTAAGAAAATGTACCAATGTTCCGTTTCTTTCCTTTCCATGAAATAAAGAACTCATATTGGTTAAATTTCTTATGCATTAAACTGGTTCTATATTAGTTGCAAGCTGATCGCAAGTTTGTTGCGACAACCAATATGAAGCGTTGATTTCAAATTGCAAGCTTCAGATTGGCTGTCGCAACAACTTACGATCAGCTTGCAACTAATGTAGAACTAGCTTTACGTATTATGCATTATGCAAGAGTCTGTCCTCCCCGCTTAAACGTAGTAAGAGAATTGCGCTACTATATACCGTGGCATAACCATAGCATGAGGCTTCTAGACCAATGAGCATCTTATGTAAATCAACATGGCGTCTTTATGATAGATGTTTAAGCAGGGAACACAGACTCTTGCATAACGCATAACACGTAATACATAAAAAATGTACCAATCAAAATCCTCCATTTCTTTCCTTTCCATTTGAAATAAAGAATTCTGGTTCAATTTCTTACATCTCATGTGTTATGCGTTATGTAAGAGTCTGTGCTCCCCGCTCATTTTGTGTGTGATGGCCTTAAGGATCGACAAAAGAGACTATGGAAATCTGTAATTGAAGACAAATTCCTTTATGCTGAAATTACGGTTAAAATATTGAATAAGTCGCGATTTAATTGCAATATTAGAAAAGATTTTTTAAGGCTTATACAGAGCAATTTTTTTGGAAAAAAGGCAAAATAAAAATTTGTTCTGATATCTCATTCGATGTGTACTATAGTGCAGTTCAGGTGTACATAATTTTATTAATAAAAAATTTTCAAGAATCAATTTACAAAACTGCAATGGCTCTGTATATACGACGAGAACATATTATTGAAGACCGTCAACCTTTGGCAAATTTTCGGCAACATAAAAAGAACACCAAGGGCTTGGAGGTAATTGAACGCTGACACTATCAACAATTGATATAAATTTGCTATTATTAACATAAATATTTGGCTAAGATTATTAAATTCATGATTTTTTATTACATAAATGCTTCGCAAGTAAGTATGCATACTTGTAAAACTGTAATATCCTATATATTAATAAAATTATGATTTTTAACTTTCTATTAATTTATTTTAATTTCAGCGATGTATTCAAAGAATAATGTTCTAAACTAATACTGGTACAATATGCATCAAAATAATTATTTACTTAAATACACATATCATGTATATGTTTACACATATCGCCGAAATTAAAATAATTCAATAGAAAGTTATTAATTAGTACCTGGCTGTGTTCCAAAACACATTATCAGTGCTGAAAATGTATAGTACATGTAACGTAGACTGTAGATTTTTAGCGCTGGCAGTGAATTTTGAAACACAGCCTGTATCAAATGAACGATATAAGGCCTAGTTTACATCGTACATTGATACGGGTACTAACTTTCTATTGAATGATCTTAATTTCAGCGATACATTGAAACATATACACAACATGTGTATTTAATTAATCATTATTATGATGTATATTATATCAATTTGGTACATATTTCAACATATCGCCAAAATTAAGATCATTTAATAGAAAATTACTAGTTAGTACCCGTATCAAATATACGATGTAAGGCCATAATGTCTTCAAAATATAAAACCTGTAATTCTAACTTTAATCTGAATTTAAAATCAAAATTTTAATATATGATCCAAAACGAACCAAGCGTTTATAACACACCCAGAGAAAAGATTGCTTTGATTTTTAAAAAAAATATTGATTAAAAAAAAATTTCTTTGATTTAAAAATAAATTTTATTTAATTTTCAAAAATAATGTTTAAATCAAAGAAATTTTTTCACAAATAAAAAACATTTTTTTTTTAATCGAAATTTCTTTAAATCAAAGCAACCTTTTCTCTGGGTACACACTGAGATTTTTTGATACCATTTGATACGCATATCAGCTTGGCCTGATATTCATGATTAAAACTAATCAGATCAAAATAATCCGCCAGCGCTTGTACCAAACGTAACAAGTAATTTGGTATGGATATAGTACACTTAATACGCGTATCAAACGCTCGGTGTAAACTAGGCTCATAATACGGATTAAAAAGTAGATTGAACTCAGGGATGAAACATGAACTCGAAACATGGCTTCGGAAAATACATGGAAAATCGGACTATGCGATTTTAGTGCCGTTGCGGGAAAAGTTGAAAGTACACTTGCCGACAGAAATACCTTTTTACTGCGTTCCGAAATGTACTAAAATTTCTATAGTATATGTAATGTATACTATATGAAACGCTTGCGCATTACAACTCAGCAGAAAGGCATTAATGACTAGATACATGCTACATCATAACGCGTACGGAATACATGGGGTGCATTCGTTTATGCAGTAACTATCGCAGATGTCGTTCGTTTATTCTATCTGCAAAGGCGACTGCAGCGCAGTTTGGCATTCGTTTACGCAAGGATGTACCATATGTGCAGCTATCTCGGAGGTTCTACTCAGGATGCTCTGCTCTCAGTATTGCGTAAATGAACGACAAACGTCTGCGCTGCAATTGCCTTTGCAAGTTGGATATCTTGCTGTTTCAGTTCATAATACCAGTTATAATAATCGTATTGTATTATTAAAAATGAATTTTATTAAAATATTAAAAAATGAAAAAGATTAAGAATAACTTGTCGAATATAATGGAAAAGATGTAAAGTTTGCTAATTTGTATTTGCAATCAGATTAACCTAAAAATCGCACCTTTTGAATGTAGATTGAAAATATCAATCAACACATAAGAATTATGAACTTTTTATAAATAAATTTTATAATATTTTAAGGTTTATTTAATATTTTCGGATTTTTCATTTAGGCCTAATTTTACATGGTTAACCCTTAACTGAGGTTCAACTTATTTTTCATCTCTTTCCAATTCTAGCATAAAAAAGAGATGAGGAATAAATTGAACCTTAGTTAAGAGTTAACCATGAGTTGTAAAACTGATCCCCTAATTTTTTGTATGTGATACTTTTCGAGAATAGAAGCTCAGGATCCCTATTTTTGAAAAGTATCTCACACGAAAAATTAGGGATATACTATAGTATTTGCAACGTATATTATAGCATTCCCCTAGTTTTCCGTAGGCGATACTTTTCAAGAATAAGGGCCCAATGAGCTGTCTGTCATGCTAGCGCTCATTTTATTTTTAATGCAGAAATTCCAAATTGTATAAAATTTTATTTTATTTTATTAAATAGTAAATGCATCAATATTTATTGAAAAATACATACATTTCATACATAGTCATAAATTATCATTAAATTATTGTTTTTCAACTTATTAACATCAAAAAACTTTAAAATTAAAAAAAATAAAACGGGGCTTGAACGACAACTTTCTCAGAATATATTCTACGCATAAACATACATAAATTTACAGAATTACAGGAAAATGGGAGGAAAAATATTTATCAAATCCTCTAAACTGACAATTTTCTCCGACAGGAGCACTCGAATTTGTTCTTCCGTAAAGTCTCTCTAGTAAGAGTTAAATCATGAGGGGCATCGATTCTTGATTGGTCAAATTTCGAGTCCCTTTAAACACCGCCATTTGCAGATACGATTCGATGTGAATTGATGTGAGCAACTATTTCATGGTGTAGAAGGCACAAATGCGAAATCGGACTATCAACTGTCAAATTGTACTGTTTCTGACTGGTACCCGATACCCGGCAATGGCGTCCTTCCGCTCTTATGTCTTAACTCTTACTAGAGGAACTCTATTCTTCCGTACAGTGCTTTTCCACCAGAAATTAAATCTAATTTTTTCGTGACCGGTCGCTTGAGCTTGATCCCCTTTTTACTCCGTGAACTGTAATTATCGATATATAGCACTGGACAAAGTATGCGACGAAATGTCTTTGATCTTTCATCTTGACCATATATGTAATACTCCTATATTGCCACCACTTATTGAAGAAATGCAGTTGAATGCAGTTGAATACAACGAAATATGATTGTAGCCATATTAATTTTTAGTTTGATACTTCATAGACGCTTTGTGGAGGCACTGAAAACACGGGTAAAGAAAATAAAATGGGAGTTTACTGGCCCTGAACGCCACTTAAGAACTGGCAAAAACATCACGGCGAAGACGATATCTACCTCTCGCTTAAGGTGCTTTTACATGGCAGCGTCAAGCGTCGAGCGTCAGAGCATGAGCAATAATATATTTAATAATTTTACTGAAATTGAATTTAATACACGAGTATTAATAGTTGAATCTTATAATTTACACTAAATGATATAAA